TTGATGAGTAATATGGGTCATTGGTGCTATTAATATCATTAATCTAGCCAATGGTATAGACTTTAAAATATTACTGAGGGAAGTATACACATAGAGAACAGTTTTTAAAACTGAAATACATTGATTATTCACTTATACTGATTAGAAACATATGAATGAATACTGCTTGATGTGCTTCTTACTGCTTCCTGGTGAAACACGTTCTCGGATGCCCCACGAGCAGTTGAAAACCTTTCTCTCTGCTTGGCATACTGCTTTCTCTGATGTCTAGTAAGTTGGGAAATCATTGCTCATCCTTCAAATCCCAATGTGTTTTCCCTGAGAACCTTCTCTACCTATCCCAGACAGGTTTTCCTGCTCTTAACTGCCATGTTACATTTGAATACATACTGGAAAGGAACCTCGGTGACCTAATGGGCTATGCATTAGACTGCTAACTGAAAGGTCAGCAGTTTGAACCCAGCAGGAAAAACATGAGGCGTTCTGCTTCCATAAGGATTTTTAGTCTTGGATTCCCTCGAGAGCAATTCTACCCTGTCCTACAGGGTTGTTATGGGTTGGAAGCGACCTGATGGCAGTGGGTTTATGCCCCCTGGAAAAAGATCCTTGGTGGTGCACTTGGGTAATCGTTGGGCTGCAACCAATAGGTCAGTGACTTAAACACCCCAGCCACTCCACGGGAAAAGAATGAGGCAGTCTCCTTTTTCAAAGAAACCCTACATATGTGGTAGTTCTGCTGTGCTCTATCAGCTCACCATGAGTCATGCTGGGCTGGGTTTTAGGTTTTTATACATACTGGTATGCTAGTAAAGGGCCCTAGTAGCACAATGGGCTAAGCATTGAGATGCTAATCTCAAGATTGGTGGTTGATACTTTATCCTTTGATCGCCCCTTATGATCCATTTATATTTGTTCTAAGATTTTTACATTTTCTGGTTTCTTTTAGATTGAGGATTTTATCTATTTTACTTTATTGTTTAGTTTTTTTCAAAACTATTTTATTGCAAACGAATACAGATATCATATCATTCCGTAGTTCAATCACATTAAGCAGTATTGTACAATCGCTACCACAATCTGTTTCAAAACATTCTCTTCCTTCTACTCCTTGCTATCAGCTCCTTAATGTTTTCTTGTATGTGAAATCCAGGACAGGCAAATCTTAGAGACAGTAACTGGATTAATGGTTCCTTGGGGGTTTGGCAGGGGAGGTTGGGAGGGAACAGGAGAGCTAGTAAAATGAGTACAAGAATGAAGAAAATGTTCTCAAATGAAAAAAAAAATTGGTGGTTAAAACCCACTAGCTGCTCAGTGTTGTCTTAATTGGTATTCCCTACGTTCTCTCTATGTTCTGATATCTGTTGCTACGCAGAACTAGCAGACAGTATTCATGATTAAAGGGTTTATTAAGTTAACAGGTTTTAATGCCAGTGAGAAATGCTCAGGATAGAGTTGTTTATCGGACATGATGCAAAGTTCCTTCAGGTCTGCTAATAAATGTCCAAAGGGGCACACTTATGCTGTTAGCCTGAACCCAAAGGCATTTAGCTCAAGCTCCATGGGTCAGCAAACCCAGCTCCCTGAATTAAATGCCCAGTGGCACCCCACTCCACAAGCCAGCCTCATGTATGAAAGTACCCAGTTTTTCTTGCGCTGTGGGCTGGGAAGTCCACCACTCTGCTTCATGCTCTGGATCTTGGCTCTGCTGCTGCTGCTGCTGCTGCTGCTTTGATGTCACAGCTGTCTTCTGGATCTAGAAAGTTCACTACACAGGAGTCTCATTCCACTCCTGGTTCCTGTTAGTAATGAGACCCTTCCTCCTGCATCCTCGGAGGGCTCATTGTATATGCAATAGGATGGGATTCCAGGGATTCCTGTTCATAATTACTCGTAGGTGAATCCTATTAGTATCTTTCTTTACCTTCTTACCAGACACCTGTTACCTTTTTGCAGGAAAAGGTTGTCTGGTGGGAGTTAGAGACTTTGGCAAGACGAGTCCCATTAAATCATTCACTGCTCTGGCATGCTCCATGAAAGAAAGCGGAAGCTTCCCGGTCCTGTAAAGAGTTACTGTCATGGAGCCCTAAGGAACAGTTCTATTCTATCCTATTGGGTGGCTATGCGTCAAAATGGACTTCCGTGGAGTGGCAGTGGGTTTGGTAGGATAACTACACTTGTATTTGCATACCTGGCTCCTAACTAGATTTTGAACTTTTTGAGAGAAGGCCATGTCTCTTTAGAACACTTGCTTTCCATGTTGAGGTTAACAAAAGGGACCTGGATAGGATTCCTAAACTTACTGTGTAAGACCTGGGGTATGTTAGTTACTTAATCTGTGCTTTATGCTTCCATGTCTGTAAAAGAATGCTAACAAAACCCCTATGATGGATTACCATACAGACTAACAAAATTTCTGTGTGGCCCCTAGTACACATACATACTTGGCACTCATGATGTACAGGCTGTAGAGTACCATCTACAAATAATTGTTAAATCATCTTACAACTCAAGAAGGTCTACTTATTGCTAGCGCCCTTCTTAAGTTCGCTAAGATGTTTCAACAAATATTTATAGAAGGCTATCAGCCTACTAGAGGGATCCCTGTTAGTTGTGGTGTAGTAGTTAAGGGTTGGGCTGCGACCCGCATAGTAAGCAGTTCGAAATCACCAGCAACTCCGCAGAGAAAGACTGGGCTTTCCATTCACCTAAATAGTTACAGTCTCGGAAACCCACAGGTGGTCGTTATGACTCAGCATTGATGAGTTTGTTTTGGGGGTTTGGTTTCTGCCTACTAGGCGGCAAGCATTCTGTTGGAAGGAGTGTAGCACTTGTGGTCTCTAGGTGGGACTCTAATTGTGCCATTGGGACTCAGGAGAAGGGTTCTTGTGTTTGGTAGGAACACTCGATCATGGTGGAGCGAGAACAACCACACTGAATAAACCAACAACCCGAGTCCTCTTCTCTGTGTCTCAGGTCCAACTCGGGTACTGAGTCGCGCCGCGTCCTCCGCAGGCCAACTACATGTATTGGCTGGAGCAGCCCCGCCCGCCTCGCGCACGCTGGGGGCGGAGCCTGCGTCCGCAGCGTGCTGTCGTCACTTCCCGTGGATCCGGAAGCGCCGTTGGGGGCCGGCCGCGGTAGTTGGGAAGTGGAGATGGCTCTGCTCTCAGTGTAAGCTTCGGCCCTAGCCGGGCCGCGGGCGCTGGCCGGCGCTGCAGGGGACCTGGAGAGCGGGGAGCGCCCAGCGGCTCGTGGCCCCACGCAGGGAGCCCTGGTTCGCGCCCCTCTCGTGCCACGTCACCCCGCCTCCGGGACCCGCCCTGCCCTCTGCTCTGGCGACCGGGCAGCTGCCTTGCCATCCGGCCCGGGACTGTTGAGGGAAGTGGCTGTCCGGCCCGACAACCCTGTCCCTGTCGCCTGTGCCACATCTTCGTGGCCTTCTTGAAAGCTGCCGTGGAGCAGCCAGCCCCGCACGCCCATGGAGAAGTTTGGCATGAATTTTGGGGGCGGCCCAAGCAAGAAGGACCTGTTGGAGACCATAGAGGCGCAGAAGAAACAGCTCTTGCAGTACCAGGCACGCCTCAAGGATGTGGTCCGCGCTTACAAAAGCCTCTTGAAGGAGAAGGAGGCGCTGGAGGCCAGCATCAAGGTGCTCTCGGTGTCGCATGAGGCGGACGTGGGCCTCACAGGTGCCCAGGCACCAGGCCTCCCCTTCCCGGACTCCGTTGATGACCGGTGCTCCACTCACAGCGGGGATAGCACGGGGACCGCCACCAGCATTGATACTGCGGCCAGTCTCACCAGCACCAAGGGTGAGTTCGGGGTGGAAGATGATAGACCGGCCCGTGGACCTCTGTCTCCAAAGTCCGAAGAGGCCAGCGGGTCCGAGAGTGGTGTCAGCAGTAGCAGTGGGGACGGGCCGTCGGCAGGAGGGGAGGCGGACAAGCGCCTGCACCAGTTGAAGACCCAGTTGGCCACTCTGACCAGCTCTTTGGCCACTGTCACCCAGGAGAAATCCCGCATGGAGGCTTCGTACCTGGCAGACAAGAAGAAGATGAAACAGGACTTAGAGGACGCCTGTAAGAAGGCAGAGGAGGAGAGGGGCCGTCTGGAGGGGGAACTGAAGGGGCTGCAGGAGCATGTGGTGGAGACCAAAGCCCGACTCATCACGCAGCAGCACGATCGCGCCCAAGAGCAGAGTGACCATGCCCTGATGCTGCGGGAGCTCCAGAAGCTTCTGCAGGAGGAGAGGACCCAGCGCCAGGACCTAGAGCTCCGGCTGGAAGAGACCCGGGAAGCCCTGGCAGGGCGGGCGTTTGCCGCGGGGCAGGTGGAAGGGTTTGAACTGCAGACCAAGCAGCTGACCCGTGAGGTGGAGGAGCTGAAAGGTGAGCTGCAGGCTCTGCGAAATGAGAAGAACCGGCCCGACCCTCGGCTGCAGGATCTCCAGGAAGAGGCCGCCCGCCTCAAGAGCCATTTCCAGGCTCAATTGCAACAGGAAATAAGGAAGGTAATTACCCCATTTCCTTCAAGTGTTAGCCATTTCACCAGAAGTGGGAAAGCTGAAAGCTTTTCCTGCTGTGGGAGTCAGCACCAAGTGGCTGCAATGGTATTTTAAATGCCATCTGGAAAGTTCCACCAGTGAGGCTTGGGAAGTGACAGTCCCCGCAGGGTGAGCTTCCAACAGGATGTGGCATTTCTGAGTGTAGCCTGGGTAGGAGCCAGGCAGTCCTGGGCCTCTGGGTGCTGGCATCTTACCACCTGGGCACAGTGAAGCAGTGTGGTGAGTGGCAGCAGCCAAGTGAAGGGTAAGGTGTGGGGCTGAGCTTGAAGGAGGCAGAGAAAGTTTTTGGAGAAGAAGCCACCTTTGGTAATTGCTGTCCAACAGGTTTTCCAACAGGATTTGCCCTTCTGGCAAGGTGTGCACTTTCACAGTGTATCCTTGTAGTGTGGAAGGAGAGCTCCCTGCATTTTGAACTTCCAGGAATATCAGAAGAGAGAGAAGAAAGTGTGCCATCACAGAACGATGGCAGAGAGACAAGGGTTTGGTATAATAAGCGTTGGGGAGCACAACCCAAGCAGGAACCGTTGTTAGCACCCTAATTCTCAGAAAACAGTCCCCAGCTCCCGTTCTTGCCAGCCCAGCCCCTCTCTTGACATGTTTGGTCCCCCCACTTGCGCTGTGAGAGCTTGCTCTAGGGAGGGCCTGTGGCTTGCCTGGGTGCATTTCTGCTTGTTTCCTTGTTTTGCAGACAGCCCTTGCAGAGGAACTGCTCCGGCAACAATCTCAGGTGGAAGAGCAGAGGGTGGCTGCCCTGGAGAACCAGATATCCGAGGTGTCGGAACTACTGGGCACTTATGAGAAGGCCAAGCAGAAGGACCAGCTCGCCATCCAGAAGTTGAAGGAGCGCATTCTGCAGCTGGACCTGGAGAATAAGACGCTGGCCCTCGCAGCCTCTAGCCGGTCCCCTCTGGACAGCCATGGGGAGGAGTCAAGCCTGGATGTCAATGTCCTGAAGGACAAGATGGAGAAGCTGAAACAGCTGCTGCAGGTGGCCGCCAGGAAGAGCCAGGTGACCCTGGACTTGGAGAAACCCAGCGACCTAGAGATAATGCCCAGCTCGGATGCCGCTGACGGGGAGAAGGCCACTGCGCTCTACTACCAGCAGGAGCTGAAGCAGCTGAAAGAGGAGTTTGAGCGGTACAAGATGAGGGCCCAGGTGGTCCTCAAGAGCAAGCACACCAGAGACGGCAACCTGGCGAAGGAGCTGGAGGAAGCCCAGGAGCAGCTGGCCGAGCTGAAGGAGAAGTACATCTCCCTGCGGCTGTCCTGCGAAGAGCTGGAGGGCCAGCACCGGCAGGAGGCCGAGGACTGGAAGCAGGAGCTGGCACGGCTGCAGCAGCTGCACCGGCAGGAGCTGGAGCGCAGCCAGCTGGACTTCAGGGACCGTACGCTGAAGCTGGAGGAGGAGCTGCACAAGCAGCGGGACCGGGCCCTGGCTGTGCTGGCCGAGAAGGACCTGGAGCTGGAGCAGCTGCGCTCAGTGGCCCTGGCCTCCAGCCTGCCAGGCCGCCGAAGCCCCGTGGGGGCCGGGGCCCTTGGGGACCCAGCTGACCCATCACCCCCAGATAGCCTGACCCAAGCCCTGCACCTGGCGGCAGCCAACGAACCCACTTTCTTCCTGTACGCCGAGCAACTGGCCCGCAAGGAGGTGGAGATTGCCTCCCTGCGGAAGCAGAAGCACAGGCTGGAGGCCGACGTGCATCAGCTGCAGGACCGGCTGCTGGAGGACCGGGAGCGGCACCGCGAGGAGGTCGGAGCCCTGCAGAGCCACATCGAAAAGAACATCAGGGACCAGAGCAGGGAGGGGGCCAACCTGGAGTACCTCAAAAACATCATCTACCGCTTCCTGACCTTGCCCGATGCGCTGGGCCGCCAGCAGACGCTCACGGCCATACTGACCATCTTGCACTTCTCCCCCGAGGAGAAGCAAGTGATAATGCGGCTCCCGGGCAGCAGTAGCTGGTGGCCCTCAGGCAAGAGATGATGCCCTTTGCACAGCCTGCTGAGATTTCTGTGGAGGGATTGGGGGTGGTGTGGGCTGGAGGGTTACCCCAGCTTTGATGGCCTCTCCTCTGATTCTTAATCCATCCTTTGCTGTGCTGAGTTTGGAGGCATCTTCGAAGTGGGATGGGATTTTCTGCCAAATGCCATTAACGTGGCCTTATCCATGGGCCCTGGGGATATGGAGAGAGAGAATGAAAATGAACGAGAGAAAGAAAAAGTTTTGTGGGGGTGTAGGTGTAGAGGCTAGCACGAAGAGGTGCAGAATCTTTTAATATCTTAGTTTTTCATTATGCTCCCAACTCAGAGCTAAGAGTAGATCTGACTCGCAAGGGTGTTCAGTGGACTAATTTTTCCACATGACCAGCCCCCCTACTCCATCTTTTCAGTCTGTGTCTGATGGTGCACTGCTGCCCCATTTTTGGGGGACATCCATCCAGGCTGGGAAGGGACCAGAACGTTTGGGGAAGGGACAAATTGTCCACTACTCCAAAGGGCTAAGTAACAGTGTGCTGGTACCACGAAGCTTGTTCTAGTTAGGGCCTAGGGTCAACGGAAGCAATCTAGACTAAACGCACCCTTTGTGACCCACCAAGAGAGTTAGAAATTTCTGGAATCATCTGCTTTCGGCCAGCATGGGGTTAAAATCATCCTCTCACACCTGTCCTCCCCAGGCCTGCCTGCCTAAGGTTGGCCTGACCTTGTGAGTAAATGATGTTACTGTCTTAACAATGTTGCACTTTCACCAAGAAACAAAACCCCAGTTTCTTAGAGGAGTCAGATGAGTAAACTTTAGTCCCGCCTAAACCCGAGAATTTAGAGATTGGCTCCCAGCCATTTCTGTCTGAGTAGGGACAGGGAGGAGGGGAAAGGTTTGCTGTAGAGAGTACCAAAAGATGGCTGTGGCCCACTCAGGAAAGCACTAGGGGTCCAGCTGAGGCTGACCTGGGGTGCTTTCTATCAGTGGCCAGCATTCTAGCTCTAGCTCCAAGTCCCTAACACCAGGGTATTTTTTTTTTCCCCACTGGGGTATTTTGACCATTCCTTCAGGGAAGGAATGTGGGTTCTGTACCCAATCCTCTCACCCCTGGGGTCTTGTAGACCAAATTGAAGAGTAGAGTCACTGCTTTTAAGGAAAAGAGGCAGATGGGGAAAAGGGACTTGGGTGCAGACAGTGCTGCACCCTGTTCCCATCTGGCCTTGGTGGCTAGAGATCTCTGGACCTTAAAGACTAAGACTTTACTATTAATTGGACCACTCACTTGGTTGTGTCATCATCTAGCTGTTTTGTGAGGATTTGGGGTCCAGACTTTATTAAATGCTCCAAGTGGGAGCTAGGTGACCTGGTAGATCTATCAACAGTGAATGGACTTGTGGGACAGAAGCGAAATGTTCAAATGGGTAAAACATAAACCGTGGAATTATTAAACCCGAATGACTTGACCTGTGTCTTTCACTAATGGAACACATACACTACACCCATGTAGAGCGTGAGTGTGGTTGTTGAATGAAAAGGATGGAATTCAACTTCTATTAATCCGGAGCTTTGAGTCCCAGGAGGGACAACTGCAACCCAGAAGCTGTACGTAGCCTGGAACGTGGGCGTGAGTCTGGGTAAGCAGGTACACTGCGAGATGCGCTCTCAGGAGTCACGAGTGGGCTCAAAACTGCTAAAGGTGTTCTATTTGTGACTGCTCAGTTATGCGTAACCTTAGGACTCGGATCCAGAGAGAACTTTCCAGAACACCAAGATAAAATTAGTAATTCAGACTTCCTTGATTTCCTTACCTTGACCTCCCTAGGTGTAGGCTATCTTGTGGTGGCTGTTACTAGGTGGTTGTGAAGAAGATAGTTCCATAGTCACAGTTGCTTTCTGAGGACTGATCATTTAGCTTTTGAGAAGGCAATAACAGGCAAAGAAGTCAAATTCTGGTGATTAAGAATCCTGAGGTCATTAGGGCTGTGAGAGTTGCCAACAAATGAAAAGGTTGGGCCTTTCCCTAACCCTACAGGCACTTCAAGATCCTCAAATCAGATACTGTAATGCAAACCAAAAACCAAACTGCCAATCCAGTCAATTCTGACTCATGGCGCTTGGGTTTCCAAGATGGCAACTCTTTTCCTACCCCCACCCCCATAATTTTATTGCCATATAATTCACATGTCATACAGTTCAACGTGACTGCAACTCTTTTTTTTTTTTTTTTAAGTTGTGGGCTTGTACAACTCACCACAATCTATACATATATCCATTGTGTTAAGCACATTTGCAGATTTGTTGCCCTCATCATTCTCAAACACTTGCTTTCCACTTGAGCCCTTGGTATCAGTTCCTCACTTTTTCCCCCTCCCTTCACGCTCCCCCTCCCTCATGAACCTTTGATAATTTATAAATTATTATTTTGTCATATCTTACACTGTCCGATGTCTCCCTTCACCCAGTAGATCCTTGTAATCGGTTCCCCCTTTCTACCCCACCTCCCCTCCACCCTCCCTGTATTGACACTCTCACTATTGGTCCTGAGGGGTTCATCTGTCCCCGATTCCCTGTGTTTCCAGTTCCTATCTGCACCAGTGTACATCCTCTGGTCTACCCAGGTTTGTAAGGTAGAATTGGGATCATGACGGTGGGGATGAAGCATTTAGGAACTAGGGAAAAGTATCATCATTGCTACACTTCACCCTAACTGGCTCGTCGTCTCCTCGCGACCTTTCTGTAAGGGGATGTCCAGTTGCCTACAGATGGGTCTTGGTTCCCCAATCTGCATTCTCCTTCATTCATAATTGTGTGATATTTTGTTCTTTGATGCCTGATACCTGATCCCTTCGACACCTCGTGATCACACAGGCTGATGTGCTTCTTCCATGTGGGCTTTGCTGCTTCTGAGCTAGATGGCCACTTGTTTACCTTCAAGCCTTTAAGACCCCAGGCGCTATATCTTTTGCCCGGCACCATCAGCTTTCTTCACCATTTGCTTATGCACCCATTTGTCTTCAGCGATCGTATTGGGAAGGTGAACACACAATGATATAATTTTTTTGTTTTTTGATGCCTGATATGAGACTGCAACTCATTATAGGAGTAGAGAGCCTCAATTTTTTTCCTGCAGAGAATGACTTGTGGTTTTGAACTATTGAACTTGTGGTTAACAGCCCAATGCTGAACCACTATGCCACATTGCCATCCCATCCCCTAAATAGGTTTTTGGCGCTTGACTGTGTTGCCTATGCCTCTGGTCTCAAGTTTCAAGAAAGGAAAGAGACAATGAAAGTAGACGAGATTGGAAGCAGCAAAACACACTTTTCTTGGGCCCTGGTCCCAGAATGTTGGACTGTGTACAAGTCTTGTCAATAAGGTGATGAGAGTGAAACTTAATTATGTATTAACTACACAGGTAAGCAAGATCGATGTCAAGTAGAAGATGATGAGGAGAAGGGAAGGCAATCTGATTAATTGTAAGGACATTGAGCTCTCCCTTTCCCTGGGGTTGAGTATCTCCCACTGGGGGATAAGCACATGCACGGCCTGTCGCTGATGCAAGTCTCTTATCTGTTCTTCAGAATTTGGGCACTCAAGTATTGTAGCATGTACCAGCAAGTTAGACTCCCTATATCTTTCATTTCTCATGGCACCAGGAGTCTATGTTACAGATCAGGAAGTAGGCCGAGATGCTCAATGTGCCCAAGATCATGCAACTAGTGGATATCAGAAATGGGTCTGACGCGAGTCAAAGCCCACTTAACGTGGGCGTGCTCCTTCCTCCTTGGGACCTAAAAGGTTTGGCATCTTGCAGGCTCCGCTCCAACTCTAGGCTGAACTGAGCTAGTCCAAAGGGAGAGGGAGTCTCCAGGTGTCAACTGCAACCAAACGTTGAACAGACAACAGAGGTTCTCCCTAAGCATTTGTGAAGCTGCTCCATCCTGCTGTTCATCAATCACTGCAGAACATGAGTCATCCTGGCTAGATGAGAGGAGGGCTGGGTACCACTGATTGCTACAGTATGTTCCAGCTGTCATCCCTGGAAAAGCTGGGGAAACCACTTTGAGAATTGCCAACTAGAATAAAAGCAAAAAGTCGCAACTAGAACCCTGGTCACTGCCCAGTCTCCAACCTCCTTTAATCCTTCCCTCCCATACAAACCTCCCATCTTCCCCAGGCAGCTGGGTACCTCAAACTGATGAGTGTTTGGTGCAAGGAAAAGTGTAAATAATGGGTGGAAGTCTCAGTCCAGCCTCCTGATAGCTGTGTGACCTTGGTAAGTTACAGGAACTCTCTGAATTTTCTTCTAATGGGGATCATCATGTCCACGTCAAATGTTATTTCTTCCGATTGAAAAAAAAAAAAATCAGTACACACAGTACCTGGGAGGAAGTAGGTGCTGAAAGACAGCACTTCCCCTTTCTCCAGGAATGTTCAGCAGCAGAATCCATGTCCTGATGCCTCTAATATACAGATGGTACCGTCAGCCAAAGGGAAAAGTTAACTGTTCCATCAAGGGGTCTTCTGTGAGGCAGAGGGCTGCCATGTTCCCTGCCTCATTTACTCACTTCTCACGACAGTCTTGTGAAGGAGGTGTTGTGTCTATTTTGCAGACAAGGAAATGGAAGCTTGGCAAGATGAAGTGCATTGGTCAAGATCTAGAGCCAGGATTCAAACTCAGCGATCTGAACCAGATGGTCCAGGCCGTCTGCCCTGTTTATGCTGTCTGTCTCCCTTGTCTGTGTGCCCTGCCTGTCTGCTCCACCCGTCTATGCTGTTTGTCTGTGCCGTCTGCCAGCAGAGGGCAACGTGGATTCATGAACCTGTTGCTTACTGAGAAATCTAGGGGCTGTGTTTTAATTATTTTTTAAAATAGACTTTATTTTTCTAAGGCAGGTTTTAGGTTTACAACGTTCAGAGTCCAGAGTGCCCACCTACTCTTCACCTGCTCTATGCTCTCTCAGCGTCTTCACTCTTGTACATTTGCAACACGTTACGAAGGAATCATTTTTTTATGTTCTTTTAGAAAAAAATCATTTTATCGGGGGCTCGTACAACTCATCACAATCCATCCATCCATTGTGTCAGCACATTTGCACATCTGCTGCCATCGTCGTTTTTAAACGTTCTTTTTCCACCCGAGCCCCCGGAATTGGCTCCTCACTTTTTCTCCCTCCCCCACTGTCCTTGCCTCATGAACCCTTGATAACATAAATTATTATTTTTTCATATCTTAAACCAACCACTGTCTCCCTTCA